GTAGTAACAAGAAGCTAGTAGTAACAAGTGCCACGCTAGTAGTAACATTGAATAGTTTTATGATGTTTCTGAAAAGTTGTTCTTCCTTTGTGATGGCTTCTGTTGGGTTTTCGTGTCTTCTGTTGGCTTTGGTGGCTTTGGCTTGCTTCGTTGGCTTTTTGTGGCTTTCAGTGGCTCTTTTGACTTTGGGTGACTTTGGCTGGCTTCCATTGGCTTCTGGTGGCTTTGGTTGGTTTCTGGTTGCTTTTCGTGGCTTTTGGTGGCTTCCATGAGCCAAGCAAGCACGCACGCAAGCACGCACGCACGCAGGCACGCAGGCAGGCACGCAGGCAGGCAGGGACGGGGGCACGCAGGCACGCAGGCAGGCAAGCAAGGAAGGAAGGAAGGAACAAAGAGGGAAGCACCATGGCTTCTGTTGGCTTTTGTTTGATGCCTTGCTGCAGCTGACCTGCTTGCAAAGATACGCTGCCTGCACGCGCAAGGAGCCATTCCAAGGTAGCAGACCTTGTGTCAGCAACCAGGGCAGATTTTAGAGGAGGAAGGCAGGTTAGAGGAGGAAGGAACCATTCATTCCAACGTAGCAGGCCATTAAGAGGAGGAAAGCGCCATTCCAACATGGCAGACCTTTTGTGAGCCAACCGAGGGCAAATCTTAGAGGAGGAAGAAGCCGCCATTTCAATGTAGCAGACCTGTGACCGGGGACGGAGCCATTCCAAGGTAGCACACCTCGTGTGAGCCAGCTGAATTTAAAGTTTTAGACACTTTGGAGGAAGGGGCCAGCTCAACATAGCTGCCTGCTTGCGGTTGCCAGAACCTCACCAACACCAAACAAAAACCACCAGATACCCCTGTGACACCATATGAGAAACATAACATAAGCATTCAGAAAAACATAAAAACAAACAAAGAAATAACGTCAGCCTGTGGCCGTGGGAGCGCTTCTGGTCTTATCTTCAGAAAGCCGATGGGGCAAAGGAATATCAATCCATTTACATAGCAACATGTCCCATACATGGACTTAGATAAGGGCAACAGCGGCAACAACTTCTGTTGCTAGACGTTCTTGCGGTAGGCCTTTGGGGCGATGCGATGGATTTGTTTGGGCGGGTGGGCCACGAGCACATGCCGTTGAAAGATGTACGTAGGGTTTCCTTCTGAGAAGTTCACATTTACGTAATCTTATGTATTTATCGTCATTGACTAGGTCGGGAGTCGGGAACTCGTATTGTTGGATCTCCCTGCTGCCTGCTGTTGGGAGAGGACCATGGTAGTTGTCAATGCACTTTATTACCTGTTATACAATTCAATTATAATTCACATTAATTCACTATAATTCTATCGGCGGTGGCTCTTTTTTTGCTTAGTTGTTCTCCTACCCTCAGGCGGGAATCCAGAATGGCGATTCTGAGGATGGATTTCTGGATGGCTGCTTAAAACTAGTCAGTTTGAAGAGATGCACGGGCCGCTTCCTAGGCCGAATATTCTTGAATAATGTACGGCTGCGCGCTCTCGGGATGTCTAGTCCGGTCCTTTTATTTGTTTGTTCAGGGCGTGCGCGTGTTTGGCCACAACGAATTGAACAAGAGGGCAAGAAAGTCCAGAAGCAAATCACTTCGGAGTGGATGGCTCAATGGCTCAATGAGCATGTGTCGGACCTGTGGCATGGATCCCATTTCGCGTTGTGTCAGAGCCAAACTGGCATTAAGCGCAAGATCGGGCCTTCGACAGGCTGAGCATTGTTATAAAGAAGAAAAAACTATGCGCAGGATTTTGGCCATCAACATGCTGTATGATGCAATGGCTGCACTAGCAAGCCTCGAACAAAATTAAATGAAAAGCAACAAAAACACTTACACATACTTACTTACACAAAACACTTACCCTGCGACGGCCTTGGCCTAGTGCAGCCAACGAGCTACTAATAACACCAAGGAAGTCGCCAAGGATTGACAGTGTTTATGATGAGAGGAGATTGGGTTGCCCCCTTTGCAGCATGACTGTAGCATGCCGCAAAAATACCGGCCAAAGGCCGCCCGAAGTGGAGATGACTGGGCCAGGTGCATTCAAGGAGCGGGCAAAGATCACCCACCCGGATGTCGTGAAGGGGAAGGACCGGGACGTCGTGTGCTGCCGATGGGGGCGGGGTGAATGTGGGAGTGTTAAAGATTACGCAGAGCCTCCTTTTTGTTGGGGGTGCCATGGGGCCATGAGCACTTGGAGGGATTGAGCACAACGCGTTTGAAGCGCAAGTGGCGGAGCATTGTCCTGTCCTTCAGCGCTTCAACATCAGAGGAAGTTATGACCGTTGACTGCTGTTGTAGGCCCCTGACTTAGAGTGTGTGTATGTATATATATTCTGATGGTGCCTGAATATGAGAGTTTGATCAATCGAGACCCCATCGATGCCTGTGAGCCCTTGAGGACTGAGACGAGACATGTGAAAACTGGGCTTGGATTGGATTCGTAGATGGCAGTATAGTATAGATGGCTTGTTAGCCAAAATAATGTGGTTTGTCCAAGCAGCCTTGGGCGTTCCGCAGCCAGGACTCGCATTTTCGAGAAATGGTGCCTCAGCTGTGGAGTTTGGCCCAGCCATTCACCTGATCCAAACTTCAACCTTGGCATGTTGCCATCTATGCCTCTTTTCCCCTTCTGCGTCCCTGTTCTTGTTTGTTCCTGTCTTGTGATTTCTTTCCTTCCTTCACCTGCTGGGACTGAGACAAAATCAGTCAGACAAAGGCACCTGATGGAATGCGCCCTCCAAAAAAAGAGACCACATCAATAAAATGCAGAAGTTGGCCAGAATTGATCAACCGGTGGCTTTGGGGTTGCCGTGGGTTTTGCGGGTACAATGAAATCACCCAACAGAGGCAAGAGGTGTTTATACAAACTCATATAAGCTCGATATATGAATGCACCAATTCAATCGCTTCGGGATCAATGTTCTACTCCCCCCCCAAAAAAAAAAGCAGTTTCAGTTTGAGAGCCTCAATAACTCACCTTTAGGGATGCCTGCTGAGTTTTCAAATGCTTGCTTGCACTTGAGGTTGTGAGATGCCGAAATAGAATTTATGCATGGAAGATCATGGAGTGGATTATGGCTTCATGCCTTTTCAAGACGAACTGATCCATGATTACCCTCCAAAAACTCAGCGGGGGTCTATCCACCATCATCCACCTCTGATGTTTCTTGCTTCCGTGCCGCCCTGGGTCTCTTCCCCTATGACGGCGAGGTCGACGCCTATCGTGTCTTGCGGGACCCGCGGAAACGGGCCGAGCAGCTTGGAGCGGTGGGCGTGGGGCCGCTGTGCAGGGCCGCAGTGAACGGACCCACAGGCTCGAGGGAGGAGACAAACATGAAGAAACAGTGCAAAGGTCCCAAGTGCCTGTTACCGGTTTTAAGGGGGCCGGGGAGCTTTGAGTATTGGCTTGTATCTTTTAATACCATCATTACCATTCCTGTTGAAATGTCCTTTTGCGCAAAGGGGGGGAGCTTGAGGCCCTGGCAGGGGGGCCTTTATGTACAGAGGCAGTTCAGCATCTATCCCAACCCGTTGTGTAGAATCAGAAATATGACTCGATCTGATCAAGAAAAGATCAAACTATATTTTTTTAACATAAGGGTGGAACTCAAGGACGACTTATTGTACACTTTGGAGTGTAATTTGTAGAAATCAGTGTGTTCCAAATTGTTTAGACCTTGGTGACCTTGGTGGAAAGCGATGTTGGCTTTCAGAACACCACAAACGGGCGCGTCCCACCGTATGTGGGATTGGCTACCGGCTACTGTGACGCGTGCGCCCCACAGCCAGAGTGGTGCCAAAGACGCGGCCTGTGGTATGGTTCGGTTTGAACACGTGAGCTTGGCTTATATTTATTTTATATATATATATATAGAAACATGTTGGATGGGACGTCAGACTCAGCTGAACCACGGCATATTGTTGCCGGCGGGCAAACGGGAAAGTAGAAAAACACTGTCTCAGTCTCAGTAGCCGATTTATGTTTCTTTTCCCAGATTTTTCCACCTCAGCCAACGAAAACAATCTATATAAAAAAAGTATAAGAAAGTAACGTTCGTTTTCGTGTGCGCTTATCCAACACTTTGTTTTAAACGTGCAGTAATGCTACCCAAGATAAGTCCGAACCTAGAAATCCTTTCCCTCTTGAGTCCGAGTCTGGTCCGCCCAGGGACTTGTGGATTACTGTAGATTTTCTGCATGGGCTCAAACTCATTCATGTCAATCTTGCCTCAAACTCCCTGCGTCCCCATTTTACGAAGACAAGTCTTGCACCTCCATTTTGTAAACCAAACGGTTGGATGAGAGCACATGAAAGAGTTTGTACCCGGAAAGATTCCCTCAGTCTACTGGGATGAGTCCATTGGTTGCAACGTAGGTGTTTTTGTTGTGTCCTGCTGTCCTGCTCTAATGTGATTTGAACGGCTTCACTAGTTTGTATTTGTCGCCACCTCCGCGAAGAGATACTATGTTTCAACTGATTGCAGGAGTGCGTCAGGGAATCCGAGCACGGAATAGCCCCGTTTCGTTTGGACGATTTGTGAAAATTGCATGAAATTGTGCCAGCAAAGCAAAAGGAGCCTTGGCAATCGGACATTGATCTGCAGGAATGTTGCGGATAGCATAATATATTTTTTTTGTTTTCCGGTCACCGGTCCGGTCACCGGCCCGGTCACCGGTCACCGGCCCGGTCACCGGTCCGGTCTCCGGCCCGGTCTCCGGCCCGGTCTCCGGTCACCGGCCCGGCCCGGTCACGGTCCGATCTCCCGTCCGGTCTCCGGCCCGGTCACCGGTCCGGTCACCGGCCCGGACCGGTCATGATCCGATCTCCGGTCCGGTCTGCGGCCCGGTCTCCGGCCCGGTCTCCGGCCCGGTCACCGCCCCCCCAACGCCGGCCATCGGACCTGCAACCAGTCAACAATTGTTTTTTATCCATGCAACATCTTAAAACTTTACCCTTGCATTGCCCACAAAAGGGTGAGTGAAGTTGGAATGACCACTGCTTTCTCTAAATATTACCCCTGCATTGCCCACACAAAGGGGTAAGTCAAGTTGAAGTGGCAACCTCCTTCTCTAAATTTTACCCCTACATGGCCCACCAAAGGGTGACTCAACTTGGGCAACATCCTTCTCTAAATTTTACCCCTGCATGGCCCACAAAAGGGTGAGTCAAGTTGGAAGGGCCACTTCCTTGTCTAAATTTTACCCCTGCTTTGCCCACATAAAGGGTGAGTCAAGTTGAGCTGGCAACATCCTTCTCTAAATTTTATCCTCGGGTGGCTCACCAAAGGGCGCGTCAACTTGGAAGGGTAACTTCCTTCTCTAAATTTTACCCCTGCATTTCCCACACAGGGGTGAGTCAAGTTGAAACGCATCTTTCTCTAAATTCTGCCTCTGCATGGCCCACAAAAGGGTGCGTCAAGTTGGAATGACCACTTCCTTCTGTAAATTTGCCCCTGCATTGCCCACACAAAGGGGATACCCCAGGGAATAACCCCTATAGAATGGGGGAGGTCGAGCTCCAAAATGACCTAGCATTTTATAGATATTTTCTATAGAATCAAAAATCAACCTACCTGAAAAAGATCCATTTTCCCCCACTTCTCTATAGAATGAAAACCAACCCGGCTGTTTCAATTAGATAATTCAGATTTTGAGCCTACGATTCTGTTACATTAGTGCCTTCAAGGGTGACCCCCTTTATTCTATAGAGAAACTATGCTGTACACTACAAGGGTTGAAAGCTAGATTCTATAGTGGTGCATTTTGTTCCCAGAGGTTGGTTCACCAATTTATCACTATAGAATGGCGTTCTCAACCCCCCCGGGTTATTCAGAGGGGTATCAAAGGGGTGAGTCAAGTTGAAAAGGCAACATCCTTCTCTAAATTCTACCCCTGCGTTGCCCTTGCATGGCCCACAAAAGGGTGGGTCAAGTTGAGGGCCACTTCCTTCTTTAAATTTTACCCCTGCCTTGCCCACAGAAGGGTGAGTCAAGTTGAAATGGCAACATCCTTCTTTAAATTTTACCCCTGCATTGCCCACAAAAGGGTGACAAAGGGGTAAGTCAAGTTGAAATGGCAACCTCCTTTTCTAAATTTTA